ATCACCGGTGATGATATTCTCAATTGTGGTGGACTGGATTATGCGTCACACTGTGCAAGAGGAGTGAGAAGACAGGAACACGCTACACTGAACGATGATAAGACTCTAGAAGATCTGGATTTAGCATGTGGATGATTTATGTTTAGTGTCACAAAAACTGGAAGACTTGGAGGGAGGAAGGCAGACAGGCAAAAAGCAACCAACTAGCTGGAGTGGCGAAGCAGCCGGCGAAGACACGACTCCACGTGAAAGTAGAAAAGACGGAGGTGATGAAGGTGTCCACCAACCAACAGCAATAGCCACTAGCACCAATCACTAACAACGGGAGAGATTTCACAGAGGTGACTTCCTTCACTTACCCACTTAGGAAGCATGGTTTCTACCACAGGTCGGTGGAAGAGACGAAGACGTCAAAGCCAGCCAGCCAGTCAGTCAGAATCAGAAAGTCAAGACATAGCTTCATCAACTTGAAACCAGTTTGGAGATCTTCTACACTCAGTCAGTGCAAAGAACAAGATTCGGATTTTCAACACCAATGTAAAGTCAATCAGATCTTCCATAAAGGTCAGAAACTTGCACTGAGTGTCACGAAAAGCATTACCGATAGGTTTAAAACTTTTATCAATAGTTGCCCTCCTCGATGGCTCCACAGTGAAGATCAAATGGCCGGCCAACCGGCCAGGAAGAATTAGCAACAAGAAACTTTAGCTGCGAACAAACCAACCAAGAGCCTAATATCAAATAAATATGTAGGAGAAAATGGAGACAGATAGGACACACACTGAGGAGGTCGTCAAATGACATTGTGCGCCAGATAATACCTCGAGTGGAATCCCTATTGGAAGTGATGGGTGGGTCGTCACTTCGAGAGTGACATGGAGGAGAACGTGTGGCAAGGAGATGAGAGATTATAAGCAATCATGGAGCCAACTGAAGAGGGTAGAGGAGAACAGAACAAAGTGGAGACGTGTTGCTGAACCCTACTTTCCACTCGGAACTTTAGGGAATAACAATAATAATCTCTTGTGATGAGGTTGACTACCATTTCAGGTGGATAAAAAAGATGTATTAATACATACTACTATCAAAGTGACAGTAGGCTGTATAAAAATTCGAAAAAAGCTCACTAACGTCTACAATTTGTGGCTCAAAAGAATAGAACTTGTGCACTGTGGTATGGTATAATTCTATTGCGGATAAAATTTATTTTGATAAAGTCTAACAGCGTTATACAGTAATATCTACTCCAGTTACTTCAAGAAAAATAGCATCAGCAGCAGAACATGTCAGCAGATTATGTCTAGAAGAACTACATCAAATTATTATGAAACTAAACTATGTACGAAATGAAATGAAAAAACTCAAACTCAGTGACAAAGCTTATGAAACTGTTGCTGAAACATCCGAAAAAGCTAGAGAAACAGCATCAAGAAAATCAGAAGCGATAAAAATCAAGAAATTCAACAAATTAACAGAAAAGAACACAATAAATGAAGAAGTTGACAACAATGTTTCATCTTCTGCTGACAAAACTAAGTAGCTAATCAGTCTCTTCAAGAGAGTTAAGCTCTAGTGACCTAAAACTACCTGAAAAAGGATTAAGTTTCAATGTAACGGTTAGCAAACTAAAACCGGAAGATTTCATCCCTGAAATAGAAGTATCACTAGGTTCAATAGATAAGACGATAGCAGAAGAGGTTCGAGCACAATGTGCATAAACCGTGAAAAATCAAAAGAAGGCAAAATCGTCGAACAACAGAGTAGCATACAACTATATTCATCTCAATCCCAATCAGCAGCACATCATGTCATGCATTTTTATGCCTGCTTTCTTGATTAGTATTCATGGTATCAAAGAGATCAACAATTTTGTGAACTGTATGAACAGCTATGTTGAAAATCATTGAGCAAAAGAAAAGAAAAAAACGTGGTTAGGCTTTTGTGTTGATAGTATTTTCTGCTACAATTGTTAAAACTATGCATTCCATTTAATGGAATTTGTGTTTAGTCAGTATTTTTTCTTGTTCTAAACTCTGCTCAAAAACAGTTGTGTTGTTTGTTTTTTTTGATTAAAATGATAGTAGGTCTTTAAAATATGCATGCATACATACATATATAGTTCACCTTCAGAGAATATGACACGATCAGATCATAATAGTAATGAAGATGTATTTTTCATACTGTTGAATGGATCACACAACAAAACAAGAGCATATAACACTATGATTCTGATAAAAAAGGATACTTCAAACAATTTAATGAAACACATGAGTAGTTCTCGAGCAATAGGTGAAGTTGGATAGGATTTTACTTATTTAAACGCGTAAAAACTTGGTACAATATGGCACCAAGAAGGATGCGCTACACAATAATAATAAAACAACATAGATCAGAAGAAAAAAGAAAGAAGAGAAATATATATATATATATAATTAGAGAACGGATAAAGAACTTCATCTTGAAGGAAAACAGTCATGCTTAACAAGTTCAAACAGTATTCATTAACTATCATCGGGAAGGGAAGAAAGAAGGAAATCGCAACACGTGTAATAGCACGCGATAAGTTTCATTGATTGTTTGTTGCTTCATTCAGTTCATTGTGTGAGGGCTGAGATACTGCCCGGGCGCTCAGACCGAAGCAGGTGGTTTTATTAAGGGACCATCCCCGGAGCCTTTGACTTGGAGTCGAATCCGCAAGGCAGCAGAGCAGCGTCAGGAGCTGCATTCCCATGGTTTCCGGTGACCCATATGGGTCCATACGCCATTCGATCCAATTGGATACTGCAGCCCATATACCCCATGGTAACTGCTTTTAGTTTAACCGCTATCCAAACAACCTTCCTGACATGGTAGGACCTGCAGGGACAGTCCCAGTCAGTTTAGCATGTTGAGTCATTACGGTATTCAAGCCCGACCACCACGACAAGGTAGCAGTTATTGGCCGGGCATGGAAGTTGGATAGGATACTCCTTTTTAAATTAACACCAATCAAAAAGCCGCTAAAACAGCATTGGACATCAGCAGTCTCACCTTAATTTAAAACAACTCAGTAGTTTTCATTCACTTTTAGATTTTCCCGTCGATTAATTCGACCGAAGTGTTCAGTCTCAGGTTGACATGTCTGCTGGCTTCTTGTGCAGATGCTTCGACGATGTCTGGGCATGTAATTAGAAGTTAATTGGTGGATGGTGACTAGAAGTGGATTCCAGGATAATGCACATTTCATTCTATTTAGGACTCGTCAGCTGGATGTCTGTCTCTGTCTGGATTCAACATAGAACTTGGCACCGAAGTGCACCAGTTCGAGTTGCCACGTTCCAAATAGAACACAGAGGTAGACAAGAAGATGAGTGAAGAGAATCAATAGCGTTTGACAAGTATAAGAGTGAAACAGAACGGGTAATGGTAGAAAGGAATATGAAAGATTACAGAGACTGAATACATCTGCGCTGGCCATTGACAACGATTTTGAGCCATGTCACCTATTGTCTCCAGCCATTGATTCCTAGAGTCAGTCCCGAGGGCCCCAACCCGGGAGTCTGCATCTCCCTACCTGACGACTCAGTTTAACTGTCAAGGATTTCATGGATTGATGAGGCCATGTTTTTGTTTGGCCACCACTTACTCTTTTCCAATCTGAACCTATATCAGCTAGCAATCCCCGTCGGGGGAGGCGGTGGTTAGGCATGCGCAGCACGTGACCTAGCCATCTCAATCTATGTAACTTTATAGCCTTGTCGATTGATTTTCCCTGTTTGCCCAACACTCTACGCCTAACGTCAACATTACTTACCTTGTGAAACCAGCTGGATGTGCCTGCATTCCGCGCAGTGAGTGATGTTCCCACTCAGGCTGGAACCCAGTGCCCATAGTTCCAAACGCCAAAGGGTTATCCACTAGACTACTTGTTCATCAATCGACTGCTAGTCACCATCCACCAATTAAATACTAAATTCCCAGACATCGTCGCAGCATCTGCACAAGAAGCCAACATGTTAACCTGAGACCGAGCACTTCGGTCCAATCAATCGACGGGAAAGTCTAAAATTGAATTAAATAATTAATATGACCCGTTGCACAAGAGGTGGCTCTCGTGGCCCAAGTGGTTTAGTGGATAACGCTTTGGCGTTTGAAACTATGGGCACTGGGTTCCAGCCTCGGTGGGAACATCACTCACTGCGGAATGCAGGTGTATATCCAGATGATGAGTCCTGGATAGGGTGAAACGAGCATCCTGGTGGATTCCACTGCTAGTCACCATCCATTAATTAGCTTCTAACTCAGTAGCTTAACCATCTATTCTATTTCAGCTACGCTGTCCGAATGGATGCATACTATGGTAGGAAGGGAAGTCAATCAATGCGGTTGTGAAACTACATCATCAAATAAGATGTCTTGGATAAGGGTTGTGCATGTCGAGTCACTCACTGCCTTCTTCGACGAACAATGTTAGCCAACACAGGATTAAGTTAGAAAAGAGTTAAGCCTAGTCAAATCAAAACCTGGGATTAATCCCCATGAGGTCCTTGGCTATTGGTTTGAGCCATTTAGTGAAGAGGTGAAGACTGTGTGTGACTGAGATCTTCAAGAGATACTAAGAAACAATGACTTTGAGACTGACTCTTGGTGGTACACACACACAGATGCAATCACTCTTTGTAATTTCTTTTTGCCTCATCTCTCTACCTTTGTGTGTGTGTGTGTGTGTTACATGCAATGTGGCAACTTGAACTTATACGTTGAAACCCAGTTAGTCATAATGAAAAATTTCTTCAAGTCCAACAGTAATATCTTTGATTAGTTAGTAGTTCAGAAAAGCTGAGAATACATATACGCTATTCATTAGTCTCAAATTAATGGAAAGTCAAAAACATTCAACGTTATTTTAATTTTTACGATGACTTACTGACTAGGGTCATTCAGTAAGAACTTCAAAGATGTACACTAAAACAACTAACATCTTAGAGATAGAAAAAAGCCAATATGAAAAATAAACTGACCTCTGATGTAACTTTGATAATTTGCACTTTTAGTGATTTTGGTAATTTAGCAATTAATGCAGGTAACAACCAGACGGGATCATTATCGCCTAATTCAATGCTTGGCAAACCATCTACATGTCCTATAGATCCATCTTGAAAATTTCCACAATTATTAGAATCAAGCCAATTGGACACCTGATCTTGAAATCCTTGTACTATGGATTGTGCTAAATAGCCGAGTACTTCACCTTGTTGTGAAAATGATATTTGGGAATATAACAGCTGGAATTCCATTTGTGCACACTTTAATGTCCATATATTTAAATCACGTAGTACATGACACATTGCACCAGACAGTCCTTCAGATGTTGAAGCTATATCTGTCCATGATAAATCATATGGCCAATAGATGATGTGTAGAAGACGTCTAGCTTGACTTTGAGAAAAATTCTTATCGATCAATACATTTTCACGTATCAGTTGATTCGTAGTCATTTGATGAAAACGTTCACGTATCCATGGTACAGTGCATATTTCACGTAGTACTAATTGAGTTAATGCATTTAATGGTAAAGAGTGTAACTCTGCACTTGTCGGTAAGATATCCTGTTCTAAGAATCTTTGTACAACATGATGAACTTGTGAAATTGCCTTACGATTATGTTGACGACGTCGACGACGTTTAGATTTCTTTGATTTATTCCCTTTTTGTTGTGAAGCTTTAATACGTTTACGAGTTGTACTTTTGAATGTTGTATCACCTTCAGAGTCAATGTCTGTTAACTCACCATCATCATCGTCATCACCGTCACGATCATTTGAATTCCTGACGCCATCATCATCATCGTCGTCATCTTCACCATCATCATTATCGTTATCATCTCCATCACCGTCTAATGTCTCTTCAGCATTTTCTCCTTGTAAACTTCCTGGTGCTTGATTTTCTACAGAAGCTTTATCACTGTGTACAATAAGCATTTTAAGGACATCAACTAGAAACTCTGAAGTGACTTTTTGTAAAGCAGCAGTTAGTAATAATGGTTCAGAAATACGGAAAGGCGGAGGTGGTGATGAATTTAACAACAAGGTGTCAGGATTTCCACTACTGCCAGGAGCATTAATAGTACTGGTATTAGTCGATGTGCTCACTTCTGGAGTTGGTGTCAATACACTAGATGTAGTCTGTAATGAACTAACCGTTGACTCAGCTGTAAATAAACGATGCAGAATGTGACAAGCAAGAGAAATGATTGACTCTAATTGAGCACCTACAGGTTGACTAACATCATCTAACCCTTGAGCCATTGCTGGACATATAACTAAACGTAAAAAATCTGAAATAGTAAAACAATATCGTGACAATAGTGTACCGATCAATGAACTCAAATTATCATATATCCATACTTGATTTGGTTCAATAGTACTCACTAAAGGCTGATAACCATGTACATAGGAACGTGGTGCTAGTATAGCATAAAAAGCACCAATCCATTCTGGAGTAAGTTCACTACACTGAGAAGTTAATTCAGCGCATAAACTGCATAAATAATTAACACGTTCAGGTGTTTTAGCTTGACATATCCATATAATAGCTTTACATACAAAACTATAACGTGAATCTGGTTTAAGGCGTAAATCTTCAGCATAGGCTCGAAATGATGTTAAATTATCCATAGATGTTGTCGCTAATAAATCATTGGCATAATCAGCATCAAATTGTCCCATCCCTTCATTCGGATCAACACGACGTAACAGTGCATTGACTTTTTGATGAGCTTTACCATAGACTGGAGTAAAACGTGTTTTTATAACAACATTCGAAGTAAATAAATCATTTAAGTAGATTAGAATACAACGTTCAAGTGGTCCACATAGTGTTGGTTCTTTCACTTGTCGAACTTGTTCAATCAGTGTTGGAAACAGCCGACTTGATACATCACCCATTGTAAATAATACATTTTGATAACGTTGTAGTATGCCTACTGATCTAAGGCATAAAGATGACATGTATAGCGTCATAAAATGTGTACGATTTTCAAATAAGATTTTTAAACGTTCCAATGTATCAATAACAGTTAATATCAGCGATGTTATATTCAATGATGTTTCAATTAATTCAAAAAATAGGAAAATTGAACTGGGTACAGGCATATAAATGTGTGACTGTTGAACATTAGATGCACTGGCTGGTAATTGATTATTAACACTAGATAGATTATTACTGTTATTGTTATTAGTATTATTATTCTGATTAGTGGTCACAGTGGATGCAGAACACGGTGAGTTTGTATTAACTGTTGAATTAACACTTTCATCAGTTGGTGCATTGGAACTTGAATGACAATTTGATCCATTAAGCATTTTTACAAAAACTGGTGTACACTGTGACAGTACATATTCCATATCATAAAATGATAAATTAACAAAACGTTTCATAATATCCTCATGAAGTTCATCAATTGATCTTGTCTCATCATTTGTTGTTCGATGTCCAGATCCACTGCCACCTGTACTTCCCGGTGTTCCAGCTGCATTTGAAGCTGTAGACTGTGCTGCTGTTGTTGACCCGGTCACTGTTGTCCCCATATTAGTAGAATTGGTACCGCTATTGTTATTGTTGTTGTTATTACTACTATTAGTGTTGTCCTTTTCACGTTCTCTATCTTTACTCTTTTTACGCCTACCAAGTTCACCGTGGAAAACATCGATTAGATAAATCTTTTTAGTAAACAGTTTACAAATATCACGTACCAACTTTCGAATAGGATATCTTGCCCGATCACGTGATCGAACAGAACCATACAATAATTGAAAGCGTTGATTCTGTTCATGTGCATAACTTTCATCTTGTGGTATAGGGAACTGAATTAAATAATGCAAATGACCTGATTGATTTGAATTCATTAAACGATTGCCTATAGTGGAGGTTGTATGATGAAGATTGGCTGTAGTCATTGTCAGCCCTGAAGAATTATTTACACCACTCGATAATATACCAGATTCAGAGCGTACAGAATCTGGATTATCCATACTATAACGATCCATATCTTCAGAAATTTCTGATTTAACCGAATGTTGAGCTGCTGACTGTAAATGACATGCTGTTGATGTAGTCGCAGTAGTAGAACGTGTTACACTTGTCGGTGTATTCACAGACTGATTAATATTATTACCACACGATAGCGGATTGCCTGATGTATTGAGTTTATTTTGAAGGGTATTGTCAGCAACTGCTAATGGATGAAGACTTGTGTCAAAGACGCCGCGTGCAATGAAATGTCGAACATAATTATCATGATCAAATACTTCGCGATCAATTAACTCAGAGAACAGGCATACAAGATTACGCATTAAATCATTTTCAATTAATGATTGTTCTCCATTGAATGATGGTAGTTGTGCAGTACAATTATCTAAAAATTTAATCAATGTCTCTTGTAATGATTGATAGGCTTTTAAAGCCTTAGTAGTGCTGTTCGCATTAGTATTGTTATTAGCTGTATTAGTGGAGGTAGTGTTAGTATTAATGTTACTGCTGACAGTAGGAACTGTAGTTGTTGTTGCTGTTGGTTGTACTAGTGTATTGCTGTTATTATTAGGAGCGGTAGTTGTAGCAATAGCAGTGGTAGTATTAGTCGTAGTAGTCGTCGTCGTCATGATAGTACTTTCAATAAATGTATTTTTGAACTGTTCTAATAAACATGCAACTATTATTGACCGATAAATTCCAATACGATACGGGGATACAGCCCATTCACACAGTGTTGTTACAACTGTGGCTGTATCCTCATGGATAGAATCATCGTTGAATATACGATTATACAATGACTCCATTGGATTTGGTTCACGAACAAGATGATATTCATGACGATCTAATATTTCCAACAGGCAAACAAGACGTTTAACCTAAATGAAAAGCGGGATGAACAAAAGTGAAACGTAAACACACACACACATGTGTTAAAACTTGAATAAAGTAAGTCAGTTATGCACCATGAAAAACTTTAATCTGATTGACTCAGTTTTAACATTGAAAAATGCACAGAAATGCAGCAGTTTAAGTTGTCACACTCCGCATAGCACACAACCGTAGAAAAAATATATTCAAAAGGACTATAATGATCAGAAATGTACAGGAGAAAGAGTAATAAAATGGAGAAACATGGAGACTTAATGGACCTGAGGGATAGCGAATATATCTCAGCCACTGAGAACAGTTTTGAGCTATATCACCAACAGTCCCAAAGCCATTGGATCCCAACCAGGTGCTCTACAGCTGCCTATGTGGCTGGTTCAAAACAACAGTTAAAGGATTCATGGAATGGTACCGGATTTTGGTTTAAGCATCCCTAACTCTTTATTCCAGCCTATTCTTATGTCACCTAACATTGCTCGGCAAGGAAGGCAGTGGCTCAGCATGGGCAACGAACATGTCCTAGCTGCCTCAATAGATGCAGCTTTACAAACTCATTGGTATAACTTCTATTCCCTACTTAATATTTCACGCTTAACCTGAATATTACTCACCATATTATACCACTTAAGATAGGAGACAGTAGGCAGATACCTGTGGCCAAAGGTAGCCAGCCTTTTCATATCTTCAACTTTGAATGACTATGTCTCATAACCATGAAAAAAAGGAAAGAGTGAACTGCTGTACGGTATACGTCCTTCCATCGATAGGCGGAAAACACGTCTGCGCCAGAAATGCCTTAAGTTGGAAAATGTCATACGAGCCTTTTGTAACCGTGCTGAGATTTCGTCACCAATCAGTCTGTTGGGGCTGATGTCGCTTCCGAAATCCTTGAAGCAGTGAAAACGCTTTACCACTTCACTCCCTATCCTTAAGCTAGGAGTCGATGTACTACAGTTCTGTAGCATCATCTTACATTTGACAGAGGCGAACCTCATGCCAAACATTCGAAGACTTCTGCTCAAGTTGTTCAGAAGACTTCGTTTTAGCAGCGTCTTCACCTACGAGGGCAACATCGCCCGCATACACTAAGTCAATAAGACTACTCGCTAATTACAAGTTAATTACTAAGCCAATTACTGAGTCAATCAGAGTCAACTCCACTATTACACCTATCATGAAATTCAACAGAAACGGCGACAGTGGGCATCCCAACTTCAAATGACAACTCTCCATAAGCTCATACAACGCTGCATGAGTTTGAGCAGAGTGCCTTAAGTAGTGCAATGTATTTTCTCGGTAGTCCCTTCCCGACGAAACATTGCCATAGCAAGTCTCAGTTACTGCATTCTACTTTCTACAAGGTAGGAACTAGCCTAAGCGCTACTAAGTATCTGAAAATCAGACATAAAATGCCTTACCTCCAACTCATCATAATTATTTATCACAAACCTATAAACGAGAGATTGCCAGAAAAATATAATTAGTTCTTAACGATTTCCCTTTAAACTGCAAAATAATTACTCCTCTTAATTATCGTCTTAAACTTTTAAACCTACAAATATTTCATAATGTATGACTGTGAACACTATAACTGCAAGCCAATTTCTCAGAAATCCATAAATACACATCTACTTTCGCCTCCATAGTCATCGTTTGGTGTAAAATCTCCCTGTTAAGTTCTATTGGCGTTTACTAGATTCTGAGAAATAGAAACAAACATGCGGAACCAGTTCTGCGGCCATGACCCAATCTAGTTTAAGTTCAAATCAAATTAGAAACTTAACATTAACCTTATACGATTAAGCAGGAGTAAGTAACTAAAGTGGAACAATACGGAAAGAAATAAACAACCAAGACAATCGCAGTTTATCCAGAGGAGGAAGGTATGAAAAAGCTCCGTAAGAGACATTTAAACAAAATGAAAACAGCTTTAACCCTACTATAATCTGTAAGGAATAAGTTCAAGAGATAGAAATAGGATTCACCAATTTCAATTTTATTATACACTATTTTTAATTGAAATGTTTCTATGTAATAGGTTACATACAAATGGAGTGACTAACAAGTCAATGAAAAGTCTGGAAAGGAAGGATGCTGCTTTACACTACTACAAGCGGTAAGGACACTGACAGCGAGTTTAGCACTAAGTATCACTGAGTAAAACACTTCACTCACTACTACAAAATAAGAACAAATATTCACCAATACTGATGTGTTTTATGAATTACATTTCATATGTGAAAATCACGTAACAAAATATAACATTTAATATAGTAATTCACAAAATATGTGTATAAAAGGTAACATGGACTGAAGGATGTCTCTCATTAGTGACCACCCGTAAAGTAACACATATGTGATTAATCTTCCCTAAAGGGAACCACTTTCAACAAGAATTGAAATCTTAAACAAATCATAATTCTTGCTGACTTGCACATACCTTAAATTGACAAACGCCGACTAATATAACGAATGCTATTGTTGCATATCGTCTCAGACACTTCACTTCAAACAACAGGGCACACCGAAACCGCACTACTTACAGTAGCTAAATTTTAGATGACTGCAAATCATTATACAATAAGTATAATTTATGCACTGTTTGCTGAGCTACAATTTAAAGCTGGTACCTCGAAAATTTGATTCTGAAGTACCCACCAAAACTTCAATCAGAAATAAGCACGAACAATACCATGAATGAACATTATACGCCAGAAGATGATTGACAACAGCTTTCACCTCCAACAATACAAAATTAAATGTGATTGCAGTCTGAGATATTCTACATTTCTACTCACAAGACAATAAAAAAATATAGAATGCAAACAGTTATGGTCAATGATAACTAGTCTTTCCATATCTCACACTTTCAATCGCCACATCTCATGGCTACAGAGGACAGAGATATGTTCTGTGCAGTAGTACATGAGGACTTTGCTCGGTAGTAGAATATCATATACTTTAAAAAAAGAGGTAAGTTAGCAAATACTACACGAGCCTTTAGTATATGTGCTGAGATTTTGCCAACCATCAGTTCACTAGGGCCGTTGCAACTTAACAAATAAGTGAAGTGGTCATCTTACATTTGACACAGGTGAATCTCAAGCCAAAAATACCAAGATTTCGGCTTAAGGCTTTCAAAAGTCTTCGCCTAAACAAGACAGTGTCGTCTGAGTACTTTAAATCGATGAAGACTTGGAAAGCTTATCAAAACATTCCTGTATGTTAAAATAATCTAATGGTAAACCCTATTTAGACCAGTTAATCAGGTCAGCTTTCTTTTTCGGGAGTGAGATAACCTTATGGCATCCAGCAGGTTCTTTGATCCTAACATTCAGATATTGATTAATACTTGTCATTTTGAAGAAAAGATACCTCATAAATTATTAGTACAATTTAAGAATCATTCAGTGGCAAAAAATAAACACTATAGGTTTTTCCCTAATAAACCGACTTTTTTCCATGTGCCTTAGTGAGAATTTACAATGAATAAAGGCATACACCATCTAAATTAGTATGGTGCAAGAAACGAATGTAAACATTTTTGAACCTAGATATGTATAATAAACGAATCTTCAAGTATATATTGCCTCAGTGGGATAAATGTCGGTATACACCCCCTACCAAGCTATAGTACAGAATTCATTGATAAGCTAATATTGTTGGATGTCAACAAAAAATTTAAGTAACAACACTTACATTTCCGCCATTGTTTGCTGAACTTGGTTCAATAAACCAACCAGATTCAACCAGCTGGCTTCGGCTTATTATATTCTCCTCAACTTCGGACAAGCATTTGCGTACTGATATTGACTCCTCACCCCGTGGGAGAGGCAGTGCTATTAATGAATGAGGAATATGATCAAGCGGCGACCCCCTGAAGTAAGTATGATCAGTGTCAAAAGGAATTGGATTCCATACAGCAGCTGATGGACAACTTAGGATAATGAATGTGATCAAACTGCCTAATGATAGTGAAATATGACGATGCAGAGGGCATGTGTTTAATTCTTTATACTCATTTAAAATGCCTTGAAATGTGGAAGCTGAGGGCGTGAATTCGGATCCTGTACAAGTCAAAACAACATTTGCAAATGTGGTACAACACCAATACAGCAACCTTCGAATTAAAAGTTCACTTTCAGTAAATCGCCGACCAAACTTTACAAGGTAATGCAAAATAAACTTAAGGGGAAAGTCAGACGCACATTTTACAGAATGTGAAGAGTTATTCACAGGTGACGAATCAACAGATTTAGGCGATACATTCCCTCGAATTTCTTTATAAACATTTTCCACCAATTTAATCAACCATATTATGACTTCCCAGTGATCTGCAATGTCTGCGTCGTACATGCCAATAAGCAGGGAAAAAAGGTAGTCCCAATCACTATACAACGCTACAAGTTCATTATGCTTTATCGGTGCATATATTGGCTCTAAAGTCCGTGACAGCATGCGACATAGAGTAGATGACCAATCAGCAGTTGGATCTTGTGGAGCCCTAGGCTTTTTCTTCGCAGTTTCAGCAACCGCCGTTGACTGGATGATACTCATATTGACGAACCACAAGGCTCGAGATATAGGAACTTTATTTATGAGTAGTTCATGTAAGCACTCCTCTTTATCTTTGAAAAATGGAACACGACGCCCAAGGTTTTGAAGTGACACATTGTTAGAAAGCTCCTTAAACCAGTCACAAACCTGTTCTTTGTACATATCAATAGCTGGAATAACAGTGTCACGAATATTTGTCGTTTGCCGTTTTTTGAAGTCTTGGAAGTTTGAGCATTCGAATTTTTTCAGCATAATATTGTAGTAAGAATTCCATACGGCTTCTGAACTTAGGAATCGACTTTCCTCTTTACATGATTCATATTCATCACGTACTGGTTTCATATATTTGAAGCCATCTTTCACAAAGTCTTCACACATCAGGTCTTCTTTCTGCTCAATTCTTTGGCAATATACATCTGGTGGGCAGTGTTCTTTCCGTTTTAGTGATCGACACTCCAAAGATGGGAAATTGCTCATCTTTAAAATTCACAAGTGAAATGCCGATGAAGGTCGAAAGACATCAAAAAACCCGCACCACCCAGTAACAACACCTTTGAAAATCCGCCAACTTAGGTTTTGGTTTCCGTGATCCCTGTTCTGAGTGTGAGCTCGAAATAGCCAGACAAAGTGGCTGACAGATTTAATACATAGATGAAGAGGACACATGAGGATATTCAATTCAAGGATGTCACAGTAAGAATATAAAACTGGTAACATTTCAACTCTCAATCGGGACATAATATTTGGTTATCTTTATTGTTATCCGACTCTTCGATGTACAAAGAGCATTTCGTCACTATTCCTCATTTTAGTCTGTCCAAAGAGAATACTTTTCAGTGAGACGAATTTGTTGAAAATCGAGGCGCTCTGTAAAATTTACGGTTTAAAATGGTTCGTAACTGTACAGGCACCGGAAGATTCACGTGATACAGGTGTTAGGCTGTTGCAGCCTTCTTTAATCCACGTAATATACACCTTTGCAGAGACCCAATTTTTTGGGAGCGTTCACCGGTGCAGCTGATACTATTTGATGGCGTAACGGATTAAGGTCGCTGACCACTCTGTTCGAGAATCTAAAATCCACACGTATTTTCTTCTCCCTTCGCAGTTCGGTCACCATTTTGTGGTGACCTCGCAACTGTATCCTAATGAAACAGGAAAGACCAAGAATTCCAATCCTCAAATCATTTTTAATATGCGATATGCAAGAATAAAATCACTTCTCCCCCTTCTTTATGATAATGGGATGAGATCTAAATATTCCATCCTCTTTTCACAAGGAAGGTGTGGGATAACACTGACTAACTTGGTGTTATGTACTGCTGAGTAGTTATTAGTCCTGCCACGAAAAGGGGAAATCAGAAGACTGCCAGGTCCACGATGATACGTGAATTTTCCAACAAGGGCAATTGATTGTCACACAAGTGTATGAGTGAAAGGTACATAGTGTACGAAAGGTGAGAAGGATAGTGTAAAAGTTCACAATGCAGAGTATATATGAAAATGACTAATATGCATGAAGCACTAAGATAGTCAGTAGTTTTCCTACCATCATTGGATTCTGACTGCTTGTAATGACATATGAAAAAAGAACTGTGAGCCACGTCTCATAAACTGTCAATGCCCAGCTCTTGCTACGCTGGACCTCACGTTGTCCCTCGAACACTTTCAGAAAAGCTTTGTATAAACCAACGCGAAAACCAGAACACTGATTGGCGACTCAAGAATCCTTTATTCTTCCGCTAAAATTTAACCAACAATAATGTTATTACACAAGTTCAAGGAATAAATATTATAAAAACAAATCACGGTAATATTTCTGATGGCTTTTATTCTTCCCCTGAACAGCGAACGATTAGAGGATGGCTGTCGGATTGATGACCCGCGAAAAATATGGAGGAGTTGAGTTTGAGCAAACAACCATGAATTGATCGTTCAATCTTCAACCACATTGACACTCCCCGGCAAAATACGGATCCATCTCTTTTTTCTTCACGACCAATACACGTTGACTTGGATGCCATTGCGAGAACCTGGGTCACACGGACAGAGCTGAAATGGAAAACAAACAGAAAAGCCAACACACCACAAGCATACCCACAGCACAATCTCACACATCAATGACGACCTCCGACTTCCAGTTAAAGGTGTCCTCTTGACATCTTGCAACACAGTCTCCACTTGCTAGAATGACTCTTGCATAACGCAATGTGACCATAGCACCACCTCATGATACTCTTATCACATCCTCTTATCTACTCACTACGAATTACCACTGCAATCGCTTGTCACTCATTCTGCCTCAGTTCTAGTAGCGGTGACGTATGCAAACCTCAATCGTTTACACTCTTTCTCCCCGGTGTGTGGGACCACGGCCTAAAGAGAAACACTCATTCTCAATCATTGATTCCACAGCTAATCATTATCTCCGTGTGCATGTCATTCTCAGTAATAGCCTCCCCGGCGTATACGACCCATCTGCTCTCTTTATCATCAATCAATTCATTCACGGATGTAGAAGACTCGAAACAACTTCAGAAGTAAGCATTACGAACAATTTAACAAAATTATGCAATAACAACAAAGTTCGAAAACAACACGTAACACAGTGAATCCAAAAAACATCGATTGATATGACACACCACACATACATGCAAACAATACAAATAACCTCGCAGGTCATGTCTTGATGGAATTCCTTTGAAGAATCGCAGAACTAACACCAGTACGTCTGCAACTCTTCTCAGGTTGACAATTGAAAGTTGAAGAATCTCCAGACACAAACAAGATTAACCAACAATTACAATAATTGGAACTCACACAATTACCTAACACAAATATATGTACGATCAATACATCAAATGTTGTGGATTCTGGCCTGACGAACTACCCTTGAAGAACTGTAGGACTTACAGCAGTACCCCTACATTCCTCCTCAGGTTGACTCCCTTAAGTAGGAAAATCTTCGCGGAGTTCATTTGCTGGCCCTCTTCTATCATCTATATCCCCAACCTTGAATGGTAACACGCCCATGTCATTGCATCGTAGAATATAGATGACTAACGAACATACGACGTATCTGACCAACCAAGCTTGGGTACAGTGAAATTTATACCAAAGATAATAACGTTCAAATAGTAATTTGAAACTTGAAATGCCTTTATTCATGCAAGTCAGTTTAACAGTTTCCCTCTCGTACACAGTTGGCTTATCCTCATTAAACTGACGGATACTTTTCGCCTTTACAAACGGACTGATACTAGCATAGTCAAAGCATAAGACACTTGAGTTCATGGACGTCCCTTTCATCATGGATGACAACACCAACGACGACTGAGTGACACAAGTTGGTGAACTTAGTGGTGAATCAGAAGCTGTTGTTGTTCGGCCTTTAAAAGGTTTTCTAACTCCAAGATTACCATCACTGCTGTCTTTTACTATTACCTCCAGTTTAGCATAAACATTTTTTTTATTACAGCTTGATTCCACACTGTATTTTTGGTACAAGTATGGAATTTTCAGAGTGGATATCGGTAGCCCAAATTTCGCAGGCCGACCATAGATATCGGGTGTGCGTCGGCGAGGGCTCGAACCCCGGACCATGTGCATGGTCGGCGAGAGTCCTAACCACTGTGCCACCGACGCACATCTGTCGATAGGTGGGTTACACACTGATCATTTGCACTGACGGTCACATGAGTATCCATACCTTTTACCATTGCATCTTCTCTTAAATCTACTTCACGTCCAAGTTGCATAGAACCTTTGTTCAACTCAGCAGTAGTAGGCTTTCCACTCATCTCATCATGATCAACCAAAGACAAATCTGCACTATCATGATCATTATCACAAATATCCAATCCACCTCCGTTTGTATGATCAATTTCATCATCTTCAAACTCTTTTATAACAGCAGTAGATAATTTGGGTTCCTCCTCACAAATCCCTAAAGGTTTTGTACCTCCACTCTGACTAGTATTACCTTGTAAACTTGTGGAGTCAGAACTGGACTCTGAAACTGTAACTCCTTCCTTCTGCACAAATGTGGTGTCGTCTGTGACACTCTATTAAACAATGGCTTACCAGTTGCAACTACAAGTTTATTTAATGCACCATTATCGTCACACAATTCGTAGTCAGACCTCGATGACGCTGATTTCACATTTATTTCACTACTAAACTTGTTTACTTCTTCACAGTTCGCCTTTGTATGCACTTCTTGCAAACGTGTAAAACACAACCGTGTTCGTCTCGCAACTTGTAACCTATCTGTTGGGGATGTCCCACGAAAGCTGTTACACTCACTAAGTTTGTATGGATTACTAGACACCATAGAGCTTTCTCGATATCCGCTTCCCTGAGACCCTTTCGTCATCAATGATTGCGTTTCGCTCTCAGACTGCTCTATTCTAGGGGTGAGATTCAATATACTGGCAAACTTGCTCATAGATTGATTGACACTATCTTTTACCAGTTTCAGGATATCATCAAACCTTGGCTCCATACATTCATCCTCCATACGGGAGCTTATCTTCAACAACTTCCTTTGCAGTCGAGTAAGTAGGCGCCTCGCTATTACCTCTAGGACGGAACATGAGTTCAGATCACTCGTGCAGTTCATCGAAATCAGTGCATTCTTGTAAGTCGACAGATTATCCAAAAACTCAGAGAGTGCTTTGTAGTCATCTTGTGATTGACCACCATTACCCTTAACAGCCTCAAATAATTTCCTTACAATCATCGGAGGTCTTCCGAATCTTTTACGCAGAATGTGCATCGCCTCAGTATATCCTTTGTTTGGGGGCATAACCTTACAGCACTGTATAGCCCTTGAAGCAACTCCGGTGCAGTATCTCATCAAGTACATCAACTTCATTTCATCATTTAATAAAAAACTACTCAACGTGATCTCAAACTCCTTTACAAACTGTAAATAGTCAGCTGGGTTTCCGTCAAAACACCGTGGTTCAAACTTAAGCCTATTATCCCTAGACTGCGAAACATGAACAACAGACTCATCATGCTGAGCATCAAGCACATCGTTACATGTAACAGACAAGTCAACATGACTTACTTTCCTGTTAGCTTCCAAGTCGCTCTGTCCAAACTGTAAGGAACTGTCACCAACTGTCAGAAACTGTCAGTCACGTCTCAAAAACCGCTAATGCCCAGCTCTTGCTACGCCAAGCCTCCCGCTGTTCCTTTGAAGCCTTTCAGAAACACTTAGTACTAACGGGTGCAAAAGCCGGAACACCGACCAGCGACTCGAGAATTCTTTATTCTAACACCAACATATGAGCAGCATAATAACTAAGGTCCATGAACAAATATTACAATAATAATTCCCAATATTACTTCTGACGGTTGTCTCCTGACTTCTTTCTGAACAGCGACCGATCAGATGATGACTGTCGTATTGATGCCTCCGCGAAAATTGGGGAAGTTGGTTTTGAGCAAAAAACCATGAATTGATCGTTCAATCTTCAACTACATTGGTGGGTGCTGTTGTGTTTCCAATAAAAGCAACCACACTGTAAGCAAGCAACTAATAGGCACAAAGAGTA